AATGAAAATTTTAATGGATGTCAAACAGGGGCTAATTCTAAAAAGGGCTTTGCGCGATCGTGGACCCTACACCCTGTGTTAAAAAACCAAAATCCTTCTACAAAGAGTAATGTCATTGGTTGAACCACAGTATACGTGACAATTACATGACATTAAACTATATATTCATTTAAATAAAAAGTCACATGACTCATTTAATTGAGTCTATCATTTAATGACATGTAATTACCACATAAACTAAGACTCAATCCCAATAAGGATGAATAGTATTATTCTTTTAGAAATTTATCAACCCTTCTGCATGAAGGGTAGGCGATGAGGATTTTGTTTTAAGGGAACACGTGTCGTTATTTCGTTGAATAATTTTTTAAAAAAATGTACTGAAGCTACACCTATCAAGGCCTCTATCAATTAATTCTGCTCAAGCAGCATTATTGAAAATTTAGAATTACATTAAGTGCACATTCATGGGTTACATCATAATGTACATTGTGTGCAAATTCAAAAGGTGTTAAGAGGAAAAGTGTGTTGTTTTTAAAACTATCAAATCATGTGTCGATACGTGATACAATGTCAAAAATAATATAAAATAAGATGCACATGTAGCATGGTTATAAATAAGGTTATGGGGCCTACCGCTCCTTGCAGTTGCATTTCCAATAGACTATTGTCAAAGCTGATTACACACTACTGAGTTGTCATTGTTGACTAGGGGTGTCCAAAAATCTCGAACCGAACCGGACCGAATCGAACCGAATTGAGCAGTTCTTCATAAATTAAATACCCGAACGGGTACCCGAATCGAGAACCGATGGGTTTGGGTCGGGTCTCGGGTCTAAACCAAGAATCGAAGAATCGAATAAGAATCGAAACTAAATAATTTTTTTATTTTTTATATTGAATTAATTAAATTATTTAATTTTTTTTAATACAAATTAGCAAATAAATTAAATAAATTAGATTATTTCATAATTTTAATTTTAAAGTCCAAATAATTTTTAAAATCCATTAGCCCATTTTAATTTGAAACAAATGAATATACTTTATATAGTTTTGCTGTAATATTAATATCTACATTTTGGTATTTGTATGCATTCAATTAATCTTAGTAGACGGCTAGTTATTTATATGTTTTTTTTAATTGGGTTACGTTAATTGGTAAAAGTTACGAATGAAAATGTCATTAGTTGTATTTATGTAGTATTGCTGAAAATATTAAAAAATTTAATTATGGTACGGAACCGAACCGACCCGAACCGAACCCGAACGGTTCCATAATTATATTTGAACCCGACGAATCCATTTATTAAATACTCGAAAGTTTTGAGTCGATTCGGGTCTCTTCAGAACCGAACCGACCCACGGACAGCCCTGACAATTTAATTCTTTGAGGATTAATAAATTAAGAATAATTTGGGATTAGGTTATGACTAATGAAGAGGTAATATTATCTAATCAACCTACGGTTTCCATGTCTCATGCAGGTGTTGGCATCCCCTTTTCATCATTGTTCCACAAATCAATTATTCCACCGTGTTGGAATAATTCAAAAGAATTGCAAAAAGTAAAATATCAGCAAACTTTCGGCTATGATATTTGGTTGCATGTGCGAAGAAAAACACCAATATATTGACTTGAAGCAGGTCCAATCTCAAAGGTCCTAATTAAAAGTAGGGCTACCCATTTTTTTTTTTTTTTT